TGCCCCACTCCTGGCCGCTCGGTGCCTGCATATGCAAATTAACTCGCCATGTTTGTTGGGTTAATTTGCATACTCACGCCTGATTGGCTGGTGGGTGTCGCAAAGGTATGGTCTCTTTGTATCTTTCTCTCTTAGTGTAGATTATACATAAAATTACATATGCGCCAATAGAGAATAGATACTATATATTATGTGTAATATGTATATATTATAAAGCAACAAGATCATGTTCTCTGTCCCCATAGATCTTTTCTAGTATAGAAATTTAACTGCATAACATTTTAATGTTCAGAACATACTTTTAAAAAATTAAACTTACTGGGGTGGCATTGGTTAATAAAATTATATATGTTTCAGGTACAGAATTCTCTGATACATCAACTATATGTAGCATTGCATGCCCACCACCCAAAGTCAAATCTTCTGTAACCATATATTTGACCTCCTTACCCTTTGTTAACCTTCCATCCCCCTTCCCTCTGGTAACCACCATATTGTTGTCTGTGTCTATGAGTTTTTGTTTGTTTTTGATGTTTATTCATTTGTTACTTTTAGTTTTATATCTCACTAAGTGAAATCACATGGTTCTTGACTTTTTCTGACATATTTCGCTTAGCACGATATTCTCAAGACCCACCCATGTTGTTGCAATGGCAGTACTTCATCTTTCTTATGGCTGAGCAGTACAGTGGGGCCTTGACTTACGAGTTTAATTCGTTCCATGATGGAGCTCGTAACTCAAATTACTCGTATGTCAAATCTTAAAGTGAACAAGTGAGACACGTGATGCTGGGTTGATGTTGTGGCGTTCACTGTGACGTTCGCTGCGCCAACTAGCGGTGGGGTATCTGAAGCTGGCTCGTAACCCAAATTTTAGCTCGCAACTCAAAGCAAAAAATCAGCCGAGATACGGCCGTATCTCAAAAAACTCGTTAGTCGGGACACTCGTAAGCCAAGGCCCCACTGTATTCCATTGTGTATGTGCCACATCTTTACCCATTTATCCAGTCCTCTAGCAAAGGACACCTCAGTTGTTTCCAGGTCTTGGCCACTGTGAATAATGCTGCAATGAACTTAGGGGAGCATATATCTCTGCAAATGAGTGCTTTCAAATTTTTTGAGTAGATACCCAGAAGAGGAATGCTGGGTCATATGGTCATTCTATTAAACTTTTTAAGGAACCTCCATACTGTTTTCCATAGTGACTGTGCCAATTAACATCCCAGGTGCAGGAAGTGAAGTAGAACATACTTTTTAAGATTTTCATTTTAATTAGGATATTACAGTTTTTTTCAAATAAAGTGAATAATTTTATGTATGTAACCAGTATAAATAAAAAAATATTTTCAAGAAAACAATCATACCAATTTTTAAAAGCTGACAAAGAAACCGGAAAGGTGTGCTATAATCAAATCCCCGAAAGAGATTTTAAGAAAAATGTTCTGTAAATTCACTGTAAATATATAGCACGTAATACGATTTATGCTTTATAAGACAAATATTAGAGCTTTTACTAGGAAGACTTTTGCTTAAACACAAGAACTTGAAAGTTTTATTGAGGCTAACATAAACTTTCTTAACATAAATATGTAAGAGTATGGTTAGTTCAATGATGTTTTTATTTTCCCTAAAAGAGAAATGATGTTAGGGGTCCTAGATCTTTGGGGGTCATGTTCACTTTATAGTTTTTTTTTTAAATGTACTTTATTGATTTTTTTTACAGAGAGGAAGGGAGAGGGATAGAGAGTCAGAAACATTGATGAGAGAGAAACATCGATCAGCTGCTTCCTGCACACCCCTCACTGGGGATGTGCCCGCAACCAAGGTACATGCCCTTGACCGGAATCGAACCTGGGACCTTTCAATCCGCAGGCCGACGCTCTATCCACTGAGCCAAACCGGTTACGGCCACTTTATAGTTTTTTAAAAGAAGAAAATATGTATTAGATATGGAGAGAAGAAACTTCTTAAATTTAGAAATCAAAAGAAATTACAAAAACAGTTCAATAATGCATATACAGGAGAACATTCATGAAAGGGTAAACCATTGTAATCAAAATTAAAAGGCACTGGGCAAAACCGAGTGTGTTTTTTGCAGAAAATATGACCAATTCATATTATGTAGTATCGCATATATGTTGATAAAAATAATGAGACAACAGGAATAATTTAAAAAATATAAATGAAAATAAGGCAAGATATTACTCCAAAATTAATACCAATTATTAATGAGAATGCTATGATCATACTGCTGGTAGCAGTATATAACTGTTTTTCTGGCATTAATAATATTCTTACCTTTTTCTTTTTCTATGTGCCTGTGTATCACAAAATCTACCCCAGGTCTGAGTATCAGAATGTAGCTTTATAAGAAAAGGGACTGTGCCGTAGAACCCTCTAAATTTGTAGAATAATTTATGTAGTTTTCATATACAGGGTGGGGCAAAAGTAGGTTTACAGTTGTGAGTATGCAAAACAGAGTTTATTGTACTATTTATTAACTGTTGTATTATTTTCCTTGTGAACAACAAGAGAAAGACAAGTATCACATGATTTCACTCATGTAGAATCTAAGGAACAAAATAAACTGGTGAACAAAATATATTGATCCAGAGACATAGAAGCATGGAGCAGACTTGACAGATCTCAGAGGGAAGGGGCGGGGGGATTAACAAAGAACTTATATGCATGGGCCATGGACGCAGACAATACAATAGTGTGGTGAAGGCCTGGGTTGGGAGGCAGGTACGGGCCAGAAGGGGTCACTGGGGGAAATAAGGGGACATCTGTAAGACTTTCAGCAATAAAAGATTTTTTTTTTTTTAAAAAGGATCTTGATGGATTTAATTGTTAATTATAAGGATAGCTACAGTTAATCAGACAGAAAGTTTCCCTGGTGGGGAGGAAGTAGTCTGCTGTCAGTCATCAAAATATGTTCATGTTACAAAGAGATTGCCCGGAACACGGATTTTTTTCTATTTAACCTAATGGAAAGGAAAGGTAATTTTACCTGGCTACTTATGAATGGCAGGCTGGTGTAAAGTCAGAGACATGTAACAGTGACAAGCTGCTGAAGAAGGAAAACAGGGGAGTGTGAAGGTGGAGGCTTTGAGGGGTGGCAGTAGTGGTTAGAATGACAGTGGTGATGAGTTAGCAGGGAGCACCGCTCTGCTCTGCAGGTCAAAGGTAAATGCTTCAGCTTTGGATATGGCTGTGTGAGGATGGAATGACTGAAGCAACAGCTAGCTTCTTTTTAAAAAGATTTATTTTTTAAATATGTCTTTTATTGATTTTTTTTTTAAGAGAGAGAGAAAAGGAGCTGGGGGGTGGGGGGAGGGAATAATCGATGAGAGAGAAACATCCATCATCATCTGCCTCCTGCACACCCCCTGTTGAGGATTGAGCCCACAGCCCGGGCATGTGCCCTGACCAAGAATTGAACCTGTAGTTACATGGGTTGGTGCTCAACTACGGAGCCACACCAGCCGGGCCAAGCCTGAATTTTTAATATAATTGTAGTTAGTTTAAATTTAAGTAGCTACATGTGGCTAGTGGTTGCCATATTGGACAGCACAGTTCTGGACATTTTATTGCTTTCACATTTGTTGTTTTAGATTTAGATTTAAAATCCATCTGTAATTGATTTTTTAGTAGGTGGAGAGGGATCATTTTATTTTTTTCTTGTATATAGAAATCTAGTTGGCCAATCACCAAGGAAAAGAGAATCTTTCCTAGTTTGGCACTCCCAGTTTTGTATCTCCGGATGTTTATTCCCACACCAGACACCACACTGCCTCTAGTAACTGGTTGAGGACATACTTGTTTCTAGTTCTTCAGAAGTATCGTGGCCATTCTTGGCCCTTTCCCTTTCCAGCTAAGTATTAAAAGTATCTCAAATTCTCACAGAATTACTTCCGAGATTTTGATTGGGGTTACATTGGGTCTGTATCCCATCCAGTCATAAACATGATATAGTCATCCATTTTATGGCTTGCATTTCTCTCAATAATATGTGGTCATATTTTATGTAAAGGTCTTGCACATCTTTTGTTTTTTATTCCTAGCTATTTGCTATTGTAAATAACACTGTTTTCTAATTTTCTAATTATTACTGGTATATTGAAATACAGTTGATTTTATGTTATTCTTATATCGAGCAACTTAACTGAATTAACTTACTAATTCTTAGAGTTTGTTTTGGATTTTCTACATACCCAATCCTGTCATTCATAAATAATGACAGTTGCATTTCTTTATCACTCACACATTTTATCATTTTATTTCATCTTGCCTTATTGCAATTACCAGAGGGACTCAAGAGCAGAATCAGCACACTATTTTGTAAAGGACCAGATGAGGAGGAAGCCAATTCCTGTATAAATGTATAGACCAGCCGTGGGCAAACTACGGCCCGCGGGCCGGATCCGGCCCGTTTGAAATGAATAAAACTAAAAAAAAAAAAAAAAAGACCGTACCCTTTTATGTAATGATGTTTACTTTGAATTTATATTAGTTCACACAAACACTCCATCCATGCTTTTGTTCTGGCCCTCCGGTCCAGTTTAAGAACCCATTGTGGCCCTGGAGTCAAAAAGTTTGCCCACCCCTGGTATAGACTCTTAAGTGTTGTGCTAAAGGGAAGTCAGAGTAGATGACTGGTAGAAGTCTGGTAGATGAGCCCTTATCAGTTTGTATTAATTCAAAGGGCTGTACGCTATTTTTACAGGAAGAGGAAAGAATGATCCAGAGCCACGGAAGAACTGGGGTAAAACATTTGCCTAGTACAGTGGTCGGCAAACTGTGGCTCGCGAGCCACATGCGGCTCTTTGGCCCCTTGAGTGTGGCTCTTCCTAAGCCTTAGGAGTACCCTAATTAAGTTAATAACAATGTACCTACCTAAATAGTTTAAGGTAAAAAAATTTGGCTCTCAAAAGAAATTTCAATCGTTGTACTGTTGATATTTGGCTCTGTTGACTAATGAGTTTGCCGACCACTGGGCTATTAGATTGTCACTGCTGGAAAGTGTGTGGTTATTTTGAATGTGACTAAGTACAAACTAATGCTTGCCTCTTTTTAAATCCCTTTAGGAAAAATAGAAATGAAGGTACATATGCACACAAAATTTTGCCTCATTTGTTTGCTGACATTTATTTTTCATCATTGCAACCACTGCCATGAGCCACATGACCATGGTCCTGAGGAGCACCACAGACACCATCATGGACTGACCGAATCGGAGGCGAGCAAATTCTCAGAGCTGGATGCTGCCAAAAATGAGAAAAATTATTACATTGAAAAACTTTTTGACCGTTACGGTGAAAATGGAAGATTATCCTTTTTTGGTCTGGAGAAACTTTTAACAAACTTGGGCCTCGGAGAAATAAAAGTAGTTGAGATTAATCATGAGGATCTTGGCCATGATCATGTTTCTCACTTAGATATTTTGGCAGTTCAAGAGGGAAAGCATTTTCACTCACATAACCACCAGCATTCCCATAAGCATTTAAATTCAGAAAACCAAACTGTGACCAGTGTATCAACAAAAAGATACCGTAAGTGTGACCCAGAGAAAGAGACAGTTGAAGTGTCTGTCAAATCTGATGATAAACATACGCGCGACCGTAATCATCGGTTATGTCATCACCATTGTTTGCGTCATCACCTCGATCATAACACTACCCACCATTTTTCTAATGATTCCATTACTCACAGTGAGCGTGGGGAGACTAGCCATGAGCCTTCAACAGAGACCAATAAAACACAGGAACATTCTGAAAGTAAGCCACCCAAAGGAAAGAGGAAGAGAAAAGGGAAGAATGACGAAAATTCAGAGGTCATTACACCAGGTTTTCCCCCTAACCGTGATCAGGGTGAACAATACGAGCATAATCGGGTCCATAAACCTGATCGTGTACATAACCCAGGTCATTCTCATGGACATCTTCCAGAACATAATGGTCATGATCCTGGTCATGGGCACCAAGATCCTGATCCTGATAATGAAGGTGAACTTCGACACACTAGAAAGCGAGAAGCGCCACATGTTAAAAAAAGTGCAATTTATTCAGCTGCTAGTCACAAAGATCATAATGAAGATGACCGTCAACATGAGGTAAGTAGAAAAAGATGGTTGCTCCATAGTTCTTAGATAATTGTGGAGCATTTTAAGGTGAAAAGAGAAGTAACAGTGGAATAGTTAATCATATTAAAACATTTCTAGGTAATGTAAAAGAAACACGTTAAGGAAGTTAAATCAGATTAAATTTTTTATCCGGATTTTTACTTGCATTGTTTGTTCTCAAATTTGGGTTCTTAAAATCTAAATGTTTGAAGGTTGTTAGAAAATATACCCTTATATTCATTATTTTACTATCTTACGACTTTCTTAACTCCGCAAGTTAATTTTCATGTTGTCATTAGCTGGTTTCCAGATATTTGAAAATTGAAGCCTTTTTTGTTCAATCTTTTCTCTTGGGAAGTGACTAGACAGTTTCTTTTTTATGACTATTAACTTACTGAATTAATTATGGAATGGGTCCTAGTCATTGATATAGCTCCAAATCAGGTAGTTTGTGCATGTCGTAGGTTTCTTTTCTCAATGTCACTTTATGATAGGGTCTACTTGCTCATGATACAGTCTTTTCTCATGCCTTTGACAAATTTAGGGTGAATGCAAAAAGGTACAATAATAGGAAACTTCAAATTTTCATGATTTTTTTGAATAATTTCACATCAATTGATTCCTTCTTAGTTTTTTAAAGCTATATTAATCTTAAACACATTTATTTTTTGTTTTATGAAAGGTATATTAACACCTTTGTTTATTCTAATTTTTATCACTCTTAAGTTTAGAAAAAATTGAATTTATTGTTCATATGTATAAAAAGCAGCACCATATAATATAGAATATGATGGAATAAGACTTCATCCTTTGTTGTTTATGTCTTTACAATTTAAATATGTTTTGCATCTAAGTAAATATCTTTGTGTTTCTTCCCTGGAGAAGTCACCAGATAATTTATTTTTAGCAGTTATAAACACTGATAATCTTAGTTTACTTTTAAAGAATTATATTCATCTATTACTATGGATGATATCCTAGAATCTTTTGTTGTTAATAACTGGACGTTACTATTAATATTTACTTTTGTGTCAAACTTGTAGGGTCTGCATCATCAAACCTGATGCGTATTTTGAATTTTCTCAGGATTTATGGAAATATTGTATGCATTGTGTAGTACAGTTCCTTATGTTAAAACCTGGGAAGAATCATTGTTTGTTTGTATGTGTGTTCTGGGCTTGTTTTTTGTACCTAGGTAAAATCATAGGATGAGCTAGCACGTCAATAAACAAGTATGCTGCCTAAGTGGGTCTGTATGAAAAAGAGGCAGTACCATCTTTTTGCCTTAATTTTAGATACTTGTTTTCTGTACGATGGGTTCAAACTTGTTTGTCTTGTTTCCTGCTTTGTTTTGTTTTGCACTTAAAGTTCTAGTGGATGAAGCTGCCTTGTTCTCATCTTCCAGCTTTAGCATTGGGCTAGAATCCCCTTCAGCAGGGAAAAAGTCTGTCTTATACTAAAATACAAAGTTATTAAAGTAATTTAAGTTTATTTAACACTGTTTTACAAGTAAGAATCTTGAGTAATTAATAAATACACTTTGACTAGAGAAGTGATTGCCCCCACCCCCTTAAAAATCTTGAGATTACAGTTGTGAATCTCTCTTATCAGTGGCAATAGATCATTATCTTTCATGTGTTAGAATGGAAGAATGTTTAAAACCCATAAAAAGTCTTGGGTAATAAGTTGAATGTATCCCTATCATAAACTCCTAACCAAAAGCTTTATTTCTAATATATATATTGTATTACAAATTATTTTCAAATAATAATTAGAATATTTTCTTTATACAGTAAATTGTTTCTGCATAACCTTTCTAAAATACTCTTTAATTTGTTTTATCAATTTCCTTACAGTGTTTGAACGTCACTCAGTTGTTAAAATACTATGGTCATGGTGCCAACTCTCCAATCTCCGCTGATCTATTCACATACCTTTGCCCTGCATTGTTATATCAGATTGACAGCAGACTTTGTATTGAACATTTTGACAAACTTTTAGTTGAAGATTTAAGTAAGGATAAAAATACAGTTCCTGAAGATAAGGCAAATGTAGGGGCATCGGGTAAGAAAGATTTTTTTTTCTCCTCAACACAGTTTCTATTCTAATTTTTTTATGTAGTTGAATTAGAAAGTATTTCCAAATTACTGCCCTACTTTTGATGTCTTTCAATATGTTTTAACATGTACATTTAAAAGACTTGGGTAAGACAGGAGGCATGGTGGTATAGTGTGGCATTGCAGGGGAAGGATTTTGCTAGAGAACTAGATTAAAAAGGATACACAGGCTTGTGATAAGTGGGTCTTTCCTAACGGGCAAATGTAAAGAACGGGCCCTTAGTTAAAATTGTTTGTGTTCTAATTGCTTCACATTGAGCAGGGTGTGATGATTGTTTTTAAGGAAGTACAGAGGAAAGCCAGTGGGACCTAGAGGGTATTATACTAAGTGAAAAAAGCCAGTCAGGGGAAAGACAAGTACCATATGGTCTCAGGTATCGTGATTACCAGAAGGAAAGGAGGATGAGGGGGGACAGAAAAGGGTAAGGGGCGGGGATACCATTTGGTGATAGAAGGTGACTAGACTTTTGGTAGTGAACACACAATACAATATACAGATGATGTGTTATAGAATTGTATGCTTGAAACCTATATAATTTTGTTAACCAGTGTCACCCCAATAAATTCAATAAACTATATTTTAAAAGATAAACAGAAGCCTGTAATTGTAACCATTATGTTCTTAACCTGTGCTGTGCTCGACTGCTTCCTACTAAAAGGGTCCTTCAGTATGCTTTGCTAGAATATGACCGGGAGATAGAGAGTTCTATTTAGTTATACTTCGTAGTGTTTCAACAGGTGATGCAGTCAGACAGGACAGTGGTATAGAGGTAAATATTGGTGTACATATGTATTGCTGTAAGTATAGATTAGTAAGAAAAATGCAAGAATGGTCTTCTAGGTAGACAGGCTGGGTCCAGACTGGTGTGTTAGTAAAGGGAGACAAAGTGAGTCCATGCCCGGATTGGAGTGCTGATGTTTGGGTGGATAAAATAGGCCCCTCTCTGGCTTCCTGTTCCCTGATTGTGGTGGGGAGTAAGTACCTCGAGAGGCACCGTCTTTCAGGTGCTTCTCCATTTTCACTGTGACAGGAGAGAAGGGGGAGCTAGGCCTGAGATTATTGAACTTAAAACAAAAGTCATTTGTTCTTTACAGGGAAAACGGAGACTGACGAGATTGTCACATCTAGATTTAAAATTAATAGCCTTTTTTATTTTTAAGGCTTCGAAAAATTTTAATTTTGGCTTCCACATCCACTGTAGATTATGAATTAGAGTTTTCCATACTGTAATATTGGAATAATCTATATATTATAATAAGCTGCTGATAGATGCTTTACTAGTAATATTGAAAATTACAGCTTATTCAATCTGAAAAGCCTTAGAGGAAATTGTACTTGCTTTGGGAGACAAATACATTACTAATAGTGAATTTTGATCAGTTGTTTGCAGGTGGTTATTAGCATTGTCAGAAATGAAGATTGAATGAATTATGTCCTAATAGATGTTGATAATTGTAGAGAGAAGGCCCTGCTAGAAATTATTTTTAATGACTGCTGTACCATTAAGAAAGGTTAACTGGTTCTATATAAGTCTCCCATAGAGGCACAGCTACTACCTCATTAACTGTTCAAAGACTGCTGTAAACCCAGTATGCTATATACTGTGTACGCTAGAAATCGTTTGTTTCTCAAGATTGGCCCATTTAGTCATAGAGCTGACCCTAGCTTAATTGCCAAGGGGGTTGTGAATAGGTTGATAAGCATTTTCTGCCAATTAAAATGCTGAAACAGTGTAGAAAACTGCCATCTTGCGCATGCTTTGAACCAAGTTAATTAGAAAGTTTCCACAGATGAGCGCTTCTTTTTAAAAGAATGCATTTTCTCTCTAGATAATGAGAAAGGGAATTGGTGAATAACTAAGCTTGAAGACCTTTAACGTTTTAAGCGACCTAATTTGCAGAATAAGTGAAGCTTGTTTCAGACATTTAGCATTTTTTTTAATTGCAGTTGGTATCTTGGGTGCAAATAAAGGAAACATTTGGTAGTTGTATTTAATAGTTTATATATTCTTAGTTTGGTATACATTTTATAAAAGATGCTTCTTTAATGTGTTTTTTAAAAATTGATTTGAGAGAGAGACATCAATGTTGAGAGCGGAACATCGATTGGCTGCCTCCTACAGCCCTCTACAGGGGATCAGGCCCACCACCTGGGCATACGCCTTGACTGGGAATTGAACCGGTGACTCTTTGGTGCATGGGATGACACTCAACCAACTGAGCCATACCGGCCAGTTTTTATTTGTCTTTATTTTATACCAAATAAATTGTGATTTAAAAAGCACAGTAATTTGGTTAGAAATCAGAAGAATTTTATTACCCAAATTGCTTTTTTCAACACCTAGAAAATTATGATAGAGTTTACTTAAGCTTAAATGCAAATATTATTTCTAAAAAGTAAGGGTTTTTTGTGTGGTTTTTTTTGGTTGTTTTTTAGTTTTTTAAGTAAATTGTACAGAAAGCCAAATTGGAGGAAAGAGAGTTTGGAACGGGGTGTGGAGGAGAGATGATATCGAGGAAAGTAGAACTGAATTATCCTTGTACAAATAAGAAATGAGATACAGTAATAAGACTCTTCTGTATATTATGTGAATATATTTCCATTTGGGGCTAATATGTAGTTTCTTAAACTTTTTTTAAGAAAGATTTACAAAGGTTACAGTATATTAGGTACTTGATTTTCTTTAATGCTCCCAGGAGAGGTTTATAATCATTCAGTCTAGATGTTAAGAGGGACTCACAGCCTTAAATCATTTTAAGTCCCTTTTTCTGATAAGGTGGGCCACTGAGGATAATATTTATAATTTGCTCTGAGTTTCTTAATTCCTTTTTTAGGTATTTAAGTTAGTTATACTGTTATTTATTTTGTTCTGTTTTTAAGCATAACAGTGCCAAAATATAAAGCTTCTTAAAAAGTATAGTCTGGGTATGACTCATTTATCTTATGTTTATTCTTCTTGGGAGCTTTTTTGATTGATGTTTTTATACTAATGCTGACTGTCAATTTCTTTCCCACAGCATGGATTTGTGGTATCATTTCTGTCACTGTCATTAGCCTGCTTTCCTTGCTTGGTGTGATCTTGGTTCCCATCATTAACCAAGGATGCTTCAAATTCCTTCTCACATTCCTTGTGGCTCTGGCTGTAGGAACAATGAGTGGAGATGCCCTTCTTCATCTACTGCCCCATGTAAGAAATCCTTTTAAACTTAAAAAATAAAATAAAAATGAAAGTATTTAAGCTAAAAGGTTCTTTCATTAGCAAGCTCTAACACAAAAATCTAGTATTTGTGCTATTTTATTTGCTTAATAGGATAAATATTTTTTCCATTTGAGCAGTTTTAATAGCAATATTTTTTAAAATAAATTGAATCATTTTAAAATAGCAAAAAGACTGCTAATGTCAGTTTTATGTTCATCTGTCAGAATGTATACATGTCAAGTCACTACGATGCATACTTTAAATATCTTACTATTTTATAGGCCAATTATACCTCAGTAAAGGTAACTTAAAAAACCCCACACTTGCTCAACTGGAAGTTTTGAAAGTAAATACTTAAAAATCAAAGAGTGATAGACCTCTGTATCTGTATGCGTATAGCAGTGTGCTCCGGCACCTTTATTGAGCAGGAGTAGGCAGACCTGCTCAGTTAGTTAGCTACTACAGGCATGTCGCTCTTTACATCCAGGCCACTTTGCCTTTCGCCCGGCCTCCTCTTGGTTTCTAACATTTGGGTACACTCTAATGATAGGACCATGAGCCCACACTCCCAGTGCCTTGATTGTACCTTTCAAGGTCTGTTGCCACTTGAGAGTAGTTGATCCAGTATTATTATTTTGTGTCACATTATGAAAATAGTGGGCTCTTTCATTCCAAATGTAAATGACAGGTTTGAGTACTGTCTTATATATCCTCACCATCTGCCTTCTGGAGTGTGGGGAGACAGAATTGCATGTGTATGTTATGAATACCTCTTCTCTCTTCTGTACTGTGGTTGAGAATTCCAGATCTAGTCTAGAACAATGCATGACATTGTCTTTTTAAGAAATTAATTAATCTTTTTTTTTTAAATATATTTTATTGATTTTTTTTACAGAGAGGAAGGGAGAGGGATAGAGAGTTAGAAACATCGATGAGAGAGAAACATCGACCAGCTGCCTCCTGCATACCCCCTACTGGGGATGTGCCTGCAACCAAGGTACATGCCCTTGACTGGAATCGAACCTGGGACCTTTCAGTCCGCAGGCCGACGCTCTATCCACTGAGCCAAACCAGTTAGGGCAAATTAATTAATCTTAAAATTTAATATAAATTTTTTAAAGTTTATTTATTACAGGTTATTTACTTACTTTCCCCTTCATTTCCACCCTTGCTTGCCCTTTCTGACAGCCATCAGGAAAAGCAACAGTCTGTTTCAGAACTGGGCCTATAAGAACAGTTGAAGTGTGAGCAAAGTTTAACTGCTGTTTATTTTTTTCTTAAGAAGTGTTATTTAGATAAAGTTAATACCTTTTTGAATGATCTTACCTCTTTTGAGAGGTTTAGAAACTTCTGTTGACCACTACCATATGGGGAAAGAATACACATGTATTAAGCAAGGGAAATACTTAACAGTCCTTCTCTAATGTTTAAAGTTCTCTAAGATTAATATTGTGAAACGTGTACATTTCACAATTAAACATAACTTTATTAGCACACATATATTTATTTTTGCTAAAGTATTAAAAATAGAACATTAAGCATATATTCCAGTATATACTTCTGTATAATCAGTTTAAGAAAAAGTTAGATTACAGGGAGTCACAAGTAATCACCTGTTGGTGAATTCCTTTGTTTTCTTTTTACTGAATACTAGGCATTTATCTGGGTCATAGACAGAGGACCCATCGCTCCCTGTTTTCTTACTGCTGATATGGCTCTCTTACTCCTCTCAGCATTTGAGTTGGTGGTTTTGTTTTAGAGTTACCAGGAAATGTACTTTCATAGCATTTCAGTAGCATTTTAATTATTTGTTTCAAATTTTTCCTTATTCTTAATACCAGTCTCAGGGTGGACATGATCACAGTCACCAACATGCACACACGCATGGGCACGGCCATGGCCATTCGCATGGACACGAGCCCAAGAAGTTTCTGGAAGAATATGATGCTGTACTGAAAGGACTTGTCGCTCTAGGAGGCATTTACTTGTTATTTATCATTGAACACTGCCTTAGAATGTTTAAGCACTACAAACAGCAAAGAGTAAGTACTTTTTAGTTGTTTGCTTCACTTTCTGGAATGTAAAACTCAAAGACCATCATTTTCTGGCCATGTGTTTAATTATGGTGTTGGTGTGATTTAAGTCTCTGTTTTTTAATAGGTTATCTTCATAGTAATAAATGGCTTTGATCCTGGCCATTTTTTGTCATTACATTTATTTTGGCATTTATAATCAAGATATGGTAATCTCAGCTCATCTGCGTCACATCTTATTTAACTGAGTTTAAACAGGATGCAAAAGCTATTGGTTAGTTTATGCTCACAAAAATGCAAAAATATGTAAATACAAGCAAGTTTCATCAGTCTTCTTAGGTAATTTCAAGTCTAAGTGGCTTTTATTGTCATACACTTGAATGAAAATGTTTCAGACAGCATACTTCTTTATCAGAAAAGTCTTGCCAGTGGTAGAGTCCTAGAGGCATAAGACTTTATATTCAGGAAGCTTTGTAGGAAGGAAATAAGGGAAATGAAGGAAATGGTGATTCTTCTCAAGAGCAGCAAGCCACTTGGGAGATGACGCGAGGACTGTTGGTCACATACCCTGCTTGTCATGAACTGTCTGTGTTTCCTGTCACATTTATGAGAATAACACAAATATCCAAAGAATTTTCTCCCCAAGAAGGTAAGTTTGGGGTTACATTCACCATGATTATACCTCTCCCTGTTCAAGTTGATTCATGTGTGTATCTAAAGTTCTATCTTGAATATATCTCACTAACATGTTTGTGATACCAGTGCTGATTATCTTCAGTATCTGCTCTGTAAATCTAGAGGACATTTCTAGGAAGCTTTCCACACAAAAAGGATTAGAAAATGCTTACATTTTGTTAGTTAACTGCAAATATTCAAAAAAGGAAAAATACTTTCTTCTTCCTCAAGAACATTGGATAGTCGTGATCACCATCTAGGATACAACTAGGATACAGTCCACACCTAGGATATAACTTTTATGCTATTTTTATGTATATATTTTTGGTATATGTATGTGTTGTTTATAGATCTTCTTGAGACAAAATAAATAGTTTATAATAGAACTCTGCACTGGGAGACAGGGGGAGTGATTCTAGTTATTGCTCAGCCACAAGCTAGCTGTGAAACTATGGTTCGTTCATGATTTTCAGTTGCTATCTATGGGAAGTAAATCCTACTTCTCATTTTTATAACCTATTCCAAGTAGAATATGTTTAGTTTTAATTGCTATATTTCAGTAGGACACCATCATATTTATTTGCCTCCAGAGGAGGGGTGGTCAGGATGGCGTGCCAGGGAAGAATTATCTGAGGATGGTAAGGAACTGGGAAGGACCAACTAGAGCAAAGGGAGAGAGATTCCACAGCACGTGGTGTTTGAAGGTTGTGGAAGGTCATGGATGGAAGACTAGAATGTGGTGGAAGGGTGCCGAGTAAGAGTGGCTGGCGGGGAGTGAGTCGGCGAAGGCAATCACTGCCGATCATTCAGAGGAGAGGTGAGGTGGGCTTGAACCACAGTTATGGCATAAGGATTGGGGGAGAGGAGGTGGTTAAGAGAATTGTTAAAATGAAAGAATGAATAAGAAGACTTGATATTTGATTAGATGTAAGACTCACGAGAATTTAGAGTCCATCTCTGTAAGTACCTAATTTAGATCACAGTTACATATTGCAAACTATATAGAGTTTTAGAATTACTATGAAGCCTGAATTTTCTTCAGTTGTGTATACCTATTAACATCGAAGCAGCAGTTGGTATTTAATCTGTCTAAATTATTAGGGCCTGTATAATTTACAGAGAAGAACAAAATACACAAGTTTTCCTTTTTTATAGTTTAATCTTGATCTCAGTTTGAACTTAAATTTACCGGCAAAATGAAACACATTTATTTTTGTAAAGTAAACTAATGTAGGAGAACAGAGTCCCCAAAATATGGCAGCCTATTTGTAAATTTGAAATTGTGGGAGCCCTAGCTGGTTTGGCTCAGTGGATAGAGCGTTGGCCTGTGGACTGAAGGGAGCCAGGTTTGATTCCGGCCAAGGGCACATGCCCAGATTGTAGGCTGCATCCCCAGTGTGGGGCATGCAGGAGGCAGCCAATCAATGATTCCCTCTCATCTCTCCCTCCCTCTTCCTCTCTGAAATCAATAAAAATATATTAAAAGAAATTGTGGGAGGTAAAAAACGGAAGGTGCTCTTGGCAGAGAAGTATTGTGTCTATAATAAGGAGGTTTTCAAGTATATCCAGGAAAGGAATCTAGGCAGTAAGTCCGTACACGTCCTTTATGATAAACAGGACAACGCCTAATCTAAGGTGAGACACTGCTGTGCAGGCCTTTGGAAGAAAGGAGATGAGTGATACTCGAGTAGAACAGATACTTGATAGTCTGATAGAAAAGTCAGCTTTGGGAAGGGAGCATTCCGAGCATCAGTTCAGCAACACCCGGCGATGACTGGCTCAGGCCGGCTGAGCTTGAGGGGTGATTTGGCAAGTTTTTCGGAAAGTGGACAGTTAGAGACACAGCAGTTACAAGATCCCAGCTGCCGTTGGCTTTTTCTCCTTTACCCTCTCTCCCCCTCTCCTGGGCTTTTACTGTTGCTGGCTCCTCCTTCCTCTTCTTTAGTGACTCATGGCTGTTGTTCTCTCCTCTAGGATGTCTCGATATTATTATTATTTGAACATTGTCTGTTTCTCCTGTTTCTGTTACCTATTGCTATGAAGCAGAACAACCCAAACTTAATGGCTTATAGCAACAGGGATTTGGGCAGGGCCCAGCTGAGCAGTGTTTTTGCTTTACTTGGTGTCAGCTAGAGCCACTCGCTGCTACATTCACACTCCACTGCCTGCTGGGGCAGGTGAAGTCCAGGAATGCCTCCCTCCTCGTCTGTGTGCCTGCATCTCGGTCTCCTCTCACACCTCCCGCCGAGTCCAGACCGAGCTGCTCCAGAGCACGTGGCTGCTTCCCCGCCAAACAAAGTGCCAGCCAGGCTCTTTCAGACCAGTCCCCCTTCCCCCGGCCCAGCCTCACTTCCGCTATTCTGGTGAAGATACGGTAAAGGCCAGCCATAATTCAGGCAGGGGAATGTGCTGTACATTGTGCGGGTGGAGAAGAAGGCTGAGGCTGGGAGGGAAGACACTGATGGTGGCCATCGCTGAAGACTCTACTAGCCCGGACGGGCTTACCTCCCAGCGTTAGGAGACTGACCGTTTACAGCTGTAAACTGTCTAACATTCTTGTTATTTGTCTCTTATGTTCACATAGACTAGAAGTAGAACTTCAGGTTGCAAAGCCAACTATCTAACATACTTGTTATTTGTCTCTTAGGTTCACATAGACTAGAAGTAGAACTTCAGGTTGGAAGTGTTGTTAGTGGTAGCTATGTTGAAAAGGAGGCTATCTATATATATAAAAGGCTAATATGCAAAGTCAGGAGTTCGATCGCTCGCTATGACATGCGCTGACCACCACGGGGTGGCGTGGAATGAAGGAAGGCCCCACCAGCAGCTGGTTAAGGGAGGCCCTGGCTGGCAGCCAGAAGGCCCCAATCGGCCCTGATCGCCAGCCACGCCTAGCGACCCTACCTGTGCACAAATTTTGTGCACTGGGCCTCTAGTTTAGAGATAAGTTAGGACAATTCAAACCTAAACAATAAAATACAATAATTAGAATTTATTAGTAATTGAGAACAGATTAGATGAGAAACGAAACTTGTCTTTATCGCAAAGCTTAGGGTCAGTTACTTATAGGTCATTTTAATACATCACCTCATTTAATCCTCATAATCTATCATTTTCATTTTACAGATGAGTATTATATTTAACAAATTTAACAGTCTCAGAAGTTAATTGCAAATTTGGTATTTTAACTCAGGTTTGACTCTTCATTATGTCACAAGTAGGGAAATATGAGATTGCATTAATCACAGAATAAAATTCAAAGGAATAAGCATTAGTTTTTGGAATTTACTATTCCCATACATTATTAGATAAGAGAGATTACATATATTTCACATATTTCATTTGGGTTGTATATAATAATATAGTAGTGCGTATCCTTTTAACTTTGAATTAGATGAACTTGAACCTTTTAGTTGAGTATTCAAAAAACACACCAACATACAAATACAGCTGGATTTTTTATCTGGTTAGACCCCTTGATTAACTTGTAAAATTTTTTCTCACTTCTTTATCATATAATTTATGCCAGGAGTTAACACCAGTTATCCCCATAGATGTTAATAAGTGAATATTGTTGCTACTTGTGGCTGCAGATTTGATAATAATACCAGATTTTTTCCCAGGGGAAACAGAAGTGGTTTATGAAGCAGAACACAGAAGAATCGAGTATCGGAAGGAAGCTTTCAGACCACAAGATAAATAACACTCCAGACGCCGACTGGCTGCAGCTCAAGCCTCTTGCAGGTAGGTAGTAGTTCTAACGAGAAACTTTTAAAACATCACAATTGAAATATCGCTTCTAAACTGTGTGTTGCTTAATATTTCGTGTCTTTGTGGCTTCCCTAATTTTAATTTATAATTTAAATTTTCTTAATTGTGAGTTTGTCTTAATTGTGCTTTTGTTAGTTTTTTGGTTTGTTTCAGCCTTATTTGATCTCAGTTTGAACTTAAACAGGACAACACCTAATCTAAGGTGAGACACTATACCAGAAGTGGGAAAAATTAATTACATTACAGGGCAAAAACCCTATTGTACTTTACAGGAAAACAATGAAATGGACAAACAAAAAGGCTTTGTGAGTGGTAGGTTAGCATCATGTTACTTCTTGGCAAGGCAAGGTCTATGTGCCCTCGGCATGTGGAAGGAGGATCAGCCTTTGTGCTTAAAGGAGAGGGATCTCTGTGCTTGAGATCTCTGCGCACCCATCCTTCTGTTCTGTTGCCTGGTAGGTGTAATAGGTAGCTTACGATTTTTAGGGAAACCAAAACTTTTTTTAAAAAATATTTTTATTGATTTCAGAGAGGAAAGAAGAGGGAGAGAGAGTCAGAAACATCAATGATGAGAGAGAACCATTTATTAGCTGCCTCCTGCACACCCACTACTGGGGACCGAGACCACAACCCTGGCATGTGCCCTTGACTGGAACCGAACCCGGGATCCTTCAGTCCACAGGCTGATGCTCTGTCCACTGAGCCAAACCAGGCAGGGCGAAACCAAAACTTTTTAATCTAACATTCCCCCTTCCTGTTTCCCCTGAGTGTACCAGTGACTTTCTGCAGAAAAGAAGCAGCCTAGACCCCACTGGAGACTCGGCCCCAAAATAGAATTTGGGAGGTATGAGGATATTTGTCACATAATAAATAACTTGAAAACGAGGTCAGAGGTCAACCTCAATTTAAAAAACAAAACTTAACAGATGTTGTCATTTATATGAATTTCTGAACTTCAGTCTAGTGATGATTTGAGTAGTATTGTCAGTTAGGTGGAGCATTGAGAGATGCAAATGATTTACACTTTGTCTTTGTCTTCTTGCATGGCAAGAGGTTACAGTGGACAAACTTGAAGGTTTGTTCTTTCTCTGAAAACTTAGGAGTTTATTTTATTACCCGTAAACGCTACAGTAACTCGCACCTTTTGGTTTTCATCAGCTGTTCACGATGCACTCCTTAAGTCCCCAGCATCTCCAACCTTGCCAGCTCCTCCTCATTGTGCCAGCCATTGCTTTCGGTTCCTCCATCACCTGGTGCACCTTTTGGTCTTGTGTGTGTTCACATGTTTTAATTTATTTTACTTGTTTTTATATATTTATTTATTTAGTGAATTTTAAAGGACAGTCACTTAAGAAATGTTCATTACCTGCTGTTCTGTCTGGGTTTAAATGAGCAAATGTGCATTCATTTACCGGTTGATAAAGCATATCCTTTGCTATTATAAATGCAGGAACGGATGACTCGGTTGTTTCTGAAGATCGCCTTAATGAAACGGAACTGACAGATTTAGAAGGCCAACAAGAATCCCCTCCCAAAAATTACCTTTGTGTAGAAGAGGAGAAAATCATGGACCACTCTCACAGTGATGGGTTCCACACCATTGATGAGCATGCTCTCCATGCTGCTACACCCAACCACCACGACGAGAGTAAGACTGTGCTGAGGAAACACAGTCATCAGTGGCACCACAAACATTCTCATCATTCACACGGCCCCTGCCACTCTGGGTCGGACCTGAAGGAAACGGGAATAGCTAACATAGCCTGGATGGTGATCATGGGGGACGGCATCCACAACTTCAGCGACGGCTTAGCCATTGGTGAGTTCAGGGAGCCTGGGTTCCAGTGGGTCGTTCTCGAAGACCGTCCTCCACTATGTCGTTATTCATCTTAGGAACTATAAATTATAAAAGTTAAAATGTAGAGTTTATTATACATTACTTCGGTCACTTAATTTTTCTAAAGGCTATGTTAATATTTTTGATGAGTTTAGTTGGGGACATAAAGGTATAATTTCAGTAGGATTTTCTTTGAACATGTAAACAAATGTCCGTAATATGCTTCTTTGTGTGTGTGTGTGTGATTCATATCAGCGTCTTTATTTTAAATGCGTGGACACACTTTTTAAATTTATTTTTTATTGAATTTATTGAGGTTATAATATACTTCTTTAATAATTTTATTCAAGGCATTGTTACCATATTGAAAAAGCTACCTTAACATTGTATTTTCAAATACATTTACATTTACACATGCTCGAATGAGAAAAAATTAATTGAAATTTTGGATTTCATTTTTTTACATCTAAAAAGGTGAAGAAAAATTTTATGTTAAAAAATTCATTGTACCAGATTCAAATATATTATGTTAGAATTTTGCTAATGTAAACTGATACTACCAGTTTGGGAGGACAGTAAATGGGATTAATAGATGACTTTTGAGGTCCAGACTCTTAAATAATTATTCAGGAATATACTTTGGTATCTTTCAGAAAAGAGAGACTATATTTTTGAGTCCACAATGGCTGCCAATGTTTTACTAGTAGAATTAAACACATCTTTTACTAGAATTCGATTTTACTAATAGAATTAGATGTATTTGTACCTCTGGTCTCAGTCTTCAAGAGCCTCAGACAAATAATTCTTCGTACCATTTGTGCTCTAGACCAGAAAAGTTTGGATAAGAATACTAGCCATTTAACTATCTATAAATGAACTTACATGAGTTAAAATTGACCTTCCAACTACCGCTCAGAGATGGAAATACTGATAACATTACTACTTCCAAGCTGTTAGGGAGTTAAAAGTCCACACAAACTACAAACTTTAATTCAATAGGGAATATTTCTTTCACTAAGTAGCTCTTTTTCTGGTTAACACCTATTGAATCTCACTATCTGTTCAAAAACTAGAGTTTGTAAGATAAATGAGTCACTCATATATTATGACATTAGTTTAGAAAGGCAAGAGCGACTGCACCTGTCATTAATGAAAAAGGCAAAGCCGAAGATCCATCAGCGTCACTTACTACTTCCCTCCCTCCCCGCAGGAGCGGCTTTCAGCGCTGGGCTGACAGGAGGCATCAGCACGTCCATCGCTGTCTTCTGCCATGAGCTGCCACATGAGTTAGGTAATGTGACCTTTAAACTTTTACCTCGCTTCATCATCTCAGGCTTCTTCAGTGTTTAATGCATCCAAATGTCCTAAGTGTCAAAGCATAAAGAGTGGCTGATGGCAAAGTAGAGTGTCATCATTGTATAACTTTTGCTTAAAATTATATACATCTACCCTCTCATTCTGTGTTATCTAACCCCCTGCTGAGTGACATCATCCTGTGAGCACAGTTGGTGGGTGAATTATTGAAAATGTGGCCAGGAAATTCATAGAGGAAGAAGTTAAGGAGCTCTTTCTGTAAAGGAAGCTGAGAAAGGAAGGCCAGAGGAAATAAATGCTGGGAGAGAAGGAGATAAAAGCTGGTGTGAATCCAGGTCTCACCCGGGAGCGTGGAGTGTTCAGGATCAGTGGAGAGATGGAGGAGATAACATTAGATGGAAAACCGGAGAATCACAATTTTGAAGCCATTGGTAGAAGCTAATCTTCTTAGGTGTATTATCTTAAATTCCCCCAGTAATGTTGCAGGTATGTGGTTTGCAGCAGTTTCTTGGAACATGGAAAAACAATGGCTTGCACTAATTTCTTTGTTAACTTCATTAACAGATCATGCATTTTCAGTCATGTACGATCCCTTCTTAAGAGAAAGAAACAAGCCCCAGAATTCTACATATTACCTTGCATATACTAAGTGTTCAACAATTAAATGAATGTTTGTAACTAAAAAAACTTGATTATAGTTAGTAAAATTATTCATTTTGACTCTTTAGCTCCAAGACATTTCTTACAGAATTTTGCTCTTCTCTCTAAGCCAGCGATTTTCAACCTTTTTCATCTCATGGCACACATAAGCTAACTACTAAAATACTGTGGAACACCAGAAAAAAACATTTTGTTTTGGTTGATGTGACCAAAAACATAGGTGCAATTTTGATTCATTCACACAAACCCCCTCATGCTCTCCCTGTATAGTCACACCCCTTTCTCACCCCTGCTCCCTGGTGGCCATGGAATGTTCTCCATCACTATAGTTTTCTCTTTTTAGACTGTCATATAAATGGATTCAATATAACCTGTCATACTGTCTTTCAGCATCATGCCTTTGAGATTCACTCAAGTTTTTGCGTGTTATAAAGGTTTAATTTCATGAGTAAAAAATAAATTTTCATATTAAGATTCCCATTATTAAAGGTACTCTTTTTATGTCATTCTTCATTTTGTCTTTTATGGATGTTTTTCTAAATTTGTGTGTAATTTCTTGTGGTTTTAGAACTCCCCCATTCTGTCTTCACTGCAGGTGACTTTGCAGTCCTTCTGAAAGCAGGCATGACTGTGAAGCAGGCGATTGTGTACAACCTCCTCTCGGCCATGATGGCTTACATCGGCATGTTCATCGGCACTGCGGTGGGGCAGTACGCCAACAACATCACCCTCTGGATCTTCGCCGTCACTGCCGGCATGTTCCTCTACGTAGCCTTGGTGGACATGGTGAGATGGTTTCCATTTCCGTTGTTACGCTCAACCTGTAAATAGAACACGACTTCTAAAAGTGAGAGAAATCTTTGGATATGGTTTGAAAGACTAATTCTTCAAAACATACAACCCATTTTAAAGACATGTGATATCCTCAATAATCTGTAGGGAAAGATGTTTAAGTAGGAGCGTTCCTTCTTTGCAAACCAGTTGAGATGTTGAAGGTTTTTGACCACAGGTCAAAGTTACTCTTCAAAGTAATCGGTAGTATCTAGAGATATAACTACAGGATTATCATACGACTTTGAAGGCTGGGTAATATGGGGATGGAGGTGTTTTATGGTTAAGAAAATGGCAAACAAGAAAGAAAGACTGTACCTCTGAGGTAAGCCAGTCCTCTGCAGAAAATTATATTCCAAGGAATTTACGTTTGTGTGAGCTTTAGCCCTGAGGGCGCCACCTGCCACCTGCCACCTCTGCTCTACTGCTCTCTCTCTCATTCAGGCCACCAGCACCTTCTCCTTTTAGCTGTTCTCCCTGCTTTTGCCCCTGCCTCGTCCACTACACTCTCTACCAACACACCAGCTACGTGATCTTTTTCAGGGACCCTTCAGCGGTTAGACCGGGCCGCTGGTGTGCTTCCATCCTTCACGCGGTTTTCCGTCTGGTTCTGTGTAAGAGCTCTGAAGTTCTTGCTTGGACCTTCAAGGCGCGCTCTGTCCTCCTGAGCATTTCCATTCCCTCCCCGCCTCCACCCCATCTCCCCTCACCCCCAGGAAGCACACGCTGCCTCTTGCCAGTCACTCAGAGTTTGATGAAAATGCGTTATAGTTATTAGCATTGTGTTCAATAAAATCACTATTTTATCTGTAGCTATGCTTTAGTCATTAGTGTTCTTAAGTAGGAAAATGTAAAAAAAATATTTGAGCAGATTATTATACAGGATTTCTGGTAAATACCTGTTTTGTCTCAGCTTCCGGAAATGTTGCATGGTGACGGCGACAACGAAGAACATGGCTTTTGCCCCGTGGGGCAGTTCGTGCTGCAGAACTTGGGGCTGCTGTTCGGATTTGCCATCATGCTGGTGATCGCCCTCTATGAAGACAAAATTGTGTTTGACTTCCAGTTCTGACCATTCCGGCGACCACTGTTGATTACAGGAAGGCTACCGTGCAGCTTGGCACCTGTCCTTGTACCGTGTGTGCGTTGCTCCAAGAGAGGTCACTGGCTTGCACCGCTTACACGTTCCGAGATTCGAGCTGACTCGAGACTGGTGCTCTGTACTGTTCTCCCTGCGCAGAGGGGTCTTTTTAAAACATGTAAAGCTTGTGATATAGAAAGGAGAAAATGGGACTCCATGAAACAACGTTGGTATAGGATTAAGACTTCCACAAAAATAATCATATAAAACACTAAAGTAGTCTCTTTATTAGTAGAAACTTCTGTGGCTATGCAGAAATAGAAATTGAACCAAAAAAAATCACTTAAACTTTAAAATATTTTAAATGGACTTTGAACAGACTTTTCTTTGTGCTAAAAATGACTTGTAGTGTCCTTTAATTCAGCTACATACATACATGTGGTAACAGGGATCAACTTGACTTTGAGATTGCATACGTAGATTCTAGGGCCCAGAGGAGAGCTCAGGCCACAGTAGGGTGTGGATTTAGCATTGGGAAAAGTCCTTATTCTTGAATCTAGAGTTACTATTTTTGTATATATTTACATAGTGTTTAAACTCCCAGCCTAAACTACTGAAATGTGTGATTGTATGTTTGTGTGAGCTTCAGTTTAATGGAAGATTCATAATGGTTCTCTGTATTATTAATTATTATACTTGGTATTTGGGTGTTTTTGTTTTGTTTTTTAATTTTAGGGTTTTTTGGGGGGGGGAAGAGGGGTGGGTTAGGAGGTCGGAGCATGTGGTATAATGTAATTTTAGGGTTTTTTTGGGGGGGGGGATGAGGGGTGGGTTAGGAGGTCGGAGCATGTGGTATAATGTTTTTTATTATTAAAATTGTAATCCTCTAGAAAATTTCAGAGAAGTGAAGAATCCAAACATGGTCTAAATATTCAGTTTTCCTACTTTAACAGTACTAACTAGTTATTTGGGAAGTTTAAGTTCTAAATGTACGTATCGCTTTACCAGATGGCATTGGGACCATGCTGTCGCCGACAGTAAATCCAAATGTACCATGTCCATAATCCGTACATGGAGTGTTAAAGGAACAAAACAAAAATCGGTTATGAGGGTAATCCCCAGTGATACTGTGGCTGTCATAGTGCCACGTGACTTGGAAGATAGATTTAAATAACTCAGCTGAAGTCACTTGATCATTTTGTGCCAAGATGTGCTGTTGGTGCCTGATAGGGACTAGTCTCTTTTGTAGGCGCCCTGTTCTCCTACCGTGCATTGTGATCGACTTGTGAGAAGTGCGAGCTGTGTCTATTCGGAATTTTGACCTAATAATTTGTAGCCCAGCCAGATGCATGGAGCTTTCTGGTTCCACCCTGTGCCACATGGTCCTCATTTATTCCAGTTCAGCTGAGCTTAACTCTGGGCAGGCAGCTTTCTTTTCATCTGCTTGGCTCCGCATGTAGCGGCTCTAAAACTCTTACTGTACAAATACTGAAGAGCCAAACTCTTTCCATTCCATAGAACACTGTCACTCGGTCCTCCTCCTCCCCCCAGTTTCTTTCCTCCTGAACTTTACCACAGACACCAGAACTGAGAGCAGCGAGGCGCCCGGTATCAGGGGAGGCTGCCAGTGCTCCCTTCTGCTGCCAGCGAGGGAGCGAGGTGGTTTCCTCCTGGATGCCTGGATGTGCAGAGTGACTTCTGGCCTTCTCCCCGGTCTCCGGGAACGAGTAGGAGTTTTCTACATGGATTATTTTCAGCAGTGGGCACTGAATTAGGGCAGTTCTCATCTCATTGCTTGGCCCTTCAAGCAACTGAGCTAAAAGGTGCTGATATTTTATTTAGTACTGCCAAGTTCAAGTGATTCAAGTACCTTGCTTTCTGAACCATGCCAAGTTTATAGTTCATTGCTGGGTTTCTGTACCCAGGCAGCTTCTGCATTCCAGCACTGTTAGATCTGCTTATCTCAAAAATGTTTACGGAGAGCAGCAGCTGCCACATGCTCCCCACTGAAATGCCCAACGTAAAGCAAATAGGTTGTGCTGAAGTAGATGAAGTTTTATATTCTCTCAGACACGGTATTATCTTTATTTGCTAGATCTTTTTAACCTTTGAGGAGGGCTGGAACCGTGGCTGCTAGTATTTTGTTAGGGTTCCACCAGTGTTTAGTGTTCACGTCATTCTGATGCACAATTTCAAGTCTTACAGACAATCTGAATTCCACTACATTTCTGTTTGGCTCCAACATTCCATTGAGCGTGGCCAGCCTGCTTTAAGGTGTTTGTTGGAGGTCACTGCTGTTGCCCGTACGATGCTGTCACCGTGTGACATCCGTACGAAATCCGGTGTACCTCACATTGCATTCGACCAGCTGTGATTATGCTTAGAAGTGCTCTAGTAACTAGTGCAGTGTGGAGTTTCCCGTTAACAATACGTCAGTGGCTTAAATGTGATGATGGTCCTGCAAGGTGATACTTGCTAAAATATCTAAACTTTTTGTTGTTGTTATAACTGAATCATTTTTTTAAAAATTTATAAAGCTGACATGATCCAATGCTGTTTTTTTCATGGTCAACAGTGGTGTGTCATTTTATGTACGTTCCTAATGCCTGTGGAACTCCCAAAATAAAGACATTAAAAAAAGAGCAAAATGCCAGCGTGCTGTCTTTAGTCTAATCTTTATTCGAGGACATTTCTTTACACCCAAGATGAATCATCGTAAACAAAGCCTGCATTTGCACATTAACAAGTTTATAATTAAGTGTAACTTTAGACAGATTGACTGACACTAACTAGATTGTTTAAAAAGGAAAATATATTTCTACTGGATCATGTAAGGAGAGGAGCAGGGACGGGCGTCCTCCAGCTAGGCATTGAGCTGGCACAGCAGGGCCACGCCCCGCCCGATCCAGTGCTCCTTCGGGTGGTCGGAGGGCAGCGTCATGGCGATGACAAAGTTCGTGGAATGGCCCGTGGTGGACAGCGTCCCCCTCCGCTCGCTGGTCTTGTACACCGGCGCCACGTAGCTTGGTCGTTTGGGGATGTCTGTCCTCCGACAGGGCTTCAGCCACATCTGGAAGGAAGGGCGGAAACCTGAGTCACGGCTGTTGTATTTGAACAGAAGCACAGTAGTGTCAGAGAAGAGTTAGCTATGTCTGCAAACTTCTGTGGCCCAAATAGTTCTCTTGTCGGCAGCGCTGCCAGGGTCCAGCATTGCTTTAGAGCCCCCAGAACTATTCAGAACCAGTTCAGAAGCTACGTGAGAAAAAATCCGTAGTCATTTTCACCTCCGCTGTCTGTTGAAAAGCATGCTAACTATGCCTCACCTCTCCACCTTACTTACCTGGGGAGGACTTGGTGCTTCCACACAAGTCAGGTGTACTTTAAAAAGAGAAAACTGCCGCCATGGGTACTCAAAATCCTGCTGCCTTATTAATGAAGGCCATTCCCAAGATATTCGGGGGGGGGGGGGATTCTTATCAGTGATGGTGGAACCAGATCACTTCCCCATTTTAGGTAATTATTATTTTTAATCCTCACATGAGGACATGTTTTTTTTTGTGTGTTGCTGTTTTTTAAATTGGTTTTAGAGAGAAATACCAGTCGGTTGCCTCCCTCATGCACCCTGACCAGGGATCAACCTCCCAACGTGGGCATGTGGCCTGGCGGGGAATCGAACCCAGAACCCTGTGGTGCCCAGGACGGCGCTCCCACCCACTGAACCACAGGGCGTAGGTGGGTGTTTTAAAGTCACTAGTGTGTATATCAGGCAGATGCAATACACCCACATTACCTTTAGAGCCAGCCAAGTTCCTAGAATGTGATCGTTGTTGAACCTCACCAACCTCAAAGCAGGACTGGGGGCAAATTGACCTCTGAATGTGGAGACAGAACCAACTGATCATAAGGTTGAACGTTTTAGAATTTATTTGAATTCGTTTCTCTGTGGGAGTAATAGCAGCAACCCTCCGAGGGGATAAGGCTTGACCCCATTATCCCGAGTTCTCAGGTTTCTGGGGTCAAATTATAAGCTGTAGGGAGGAGCTAATCAGGATGCTAGTCTTTCCCCCACGTAACTGTGGGATCCAGATTCTTCCGAGGGGGATTCACAGAACAGTGTTTCAGACCCAGTTAAGTGTAAGGACTTGCGGCACTCCAGGTGGATGTGTTTCATTTCAACCAAGAGTGGATTTTCTTTTTTTGTGTTTTTTGTTGTTGTTGTTAATCCTCCCCTGAGGATATTTCCCCATTGATCTTTTAGGGAGAGTGGGAAAGACAGAGAGAAACATCAATGTGAGAGAAACAAATCGATTGGTTGCCTCCTGCATGCACCCAGACCAGAGCCCGGGCCGGGGAGGAGCCTGCAACCAAGGTACATGCCCTTGACCGGAATTGAACCCGGGACTCTTCGGTCCACGGGCCGACGCTCTCTGCACTCAGCCAAACCAGCCAGGGCAAGAGTGGATTTTCTTAATGAGAACTTGTCTCACTCAGTAACTTCCTATTTGGGAGAATCACCCACTTATAAATTCCTTCTCCTAGTCCAGTGATGGCGAACCTATGACACGCCTGTCAGAGGTGACACGCGAACTCATTTTTTTGGGTTGATTTTTCTTTGTTAAATGGCATTTAAATATATAAAATAAATATCAAAAATGTAAGTCTTTGTTTTACTATGGTTGCAAAGATCAAAAAATTTCTATATGTGACACGGCACCAGAGTTAAGTTAGGGTTTTTCAAAATGCTGACACGCCGAGCTCAAAAGGTTCGCCATCACTGTGACCTAGTCACTGCAACTACTTAAGCTTTTCCGTGGGAAAGGGGAAAAAATCCGATACCAATCAGCTCCTGACATTGCACACCTGCCCTGTGACGTTCAGCTCGGTCTCCCTCTGGAACTTGCTCTGCCCACAGTGCCCTCGTGTGTGGCAGGTCTCCTGCCGCTGGCTGCCAGCTGGTCCCTCTCCGCCTGTCAGCTGCCGGAAGGGTTGCTGCCTGTCTGGGCTGGTCCCAGTTTCCCATGAGCAATTCCTGCGAATCCACAGCCTCTGTTTTAGCGCCATCTCAGGCCCTCCAGTTGTGTGAAAGTCTAGCCATTTTCCCTGACGCAGTGACAGATGGTAACTCAGTATTTACATGGTTTAGTCTGTCCGTGCTGAATGGGTGCCTAGAAAACATACTTTACGTGGGTGCGTTTCAGATAGTAATCTTTTAATCTGTAAATTTCACATTTCTAGGTCAAGGTTATATAAGAAAAAAATTACACAATAAGACGTGTGCGTGCGTATGTGGATCCATACATGCAGTTGATCCTCACCACTCCTGGGTTCTGTCCTGGCACGCTCGCCGAGCACTAACGTGTTCGTCATCCTGACATCAGCACCTGCCTCTTCCTGGCCCTGTGCACACACGCGCAGAGCAGCCAGCAATTCGGGGCCCCAGGCGAGCACCCTCCAGCCAACTGCAACTACTTAAGCCAGTGGTTCTCAACCTTCCTAATGCCGCGACCCTTTAATACCATTCCTCATGTTGTGCTGACCCCCAACCATAAAATTATTTTCGTTGCTACTTCATAACTGTAATTTTGCTACTGATATGAATCATGTAAATATCTG